CTTCTTGTCTTGTCTTGCTTTGCAAGACAAGAAATTTAAAAGAGTCTTGTCTTGTTCTTGCAGCAAGAACAAGACAAGAACAAGAAATTTGCAAGAATCTTGTGAAACACTAGTTGCAAGTTGCAAGGAAGGCCCTTGTACTCGACCCTGGCATCCGGGGCAACGGCACGGTGGTTAGTCACCTAGGGCATCCATTTTTGCTATGCCTCACTCTACGCCGAGGCCGACGATGATCTCCATAATGGTCCTTCGGAGCGGGTGGAACAACGGGTGCAGGTTGGTGGCCACTCCGCCTCTTAGTGTCCGATAAACTCCCCAACGCAGGTTCAGGGCTACATTAATTATCGCCAACAGTTCACGCGGGTTTTCGCACGAACCGAGATCCGCGAAAAATTTTCGTAGCGATTGCTCCATTCCATAATTGCACGCTCTTATAAGATCACGTTGAATGAAAATTTGAAGTTCAACTGAATAGAACTACTTATCCTAGAGGGTTTATATCTTGTCTCAATTCGAGAATGGATCCTAAAGGCAGATCCACATGTATCACGGTCTTTCTTCCTCTCGCAACTTTTGCTAACCTCCGGGGTTTTCTATCAGTTTTTAGTTCTGAACCCGACTTCATTAATTCTTGCAATGCTGAATATTTCCATTATTCGTGACACCAAGATTTTGCATGTGAATTCCGTCAGGAGCGTCTCCACTCTGACACATGCATAAGTACACAGTGTCAAGAACCATCTAGAAAAAATCAAATAAGATAAAATAATTGTTTAGAATCATAGAAATTACCTCATAAAGGAACAGTGAAAACACGTTAATTGGAGCAGTTACCTTAACTCCTATCGATTAAATATCCCCTTATTGATTATATTGAAAAAAACTGATGATTATATTATACCCTAACTTTAACTAACATAATTACTACAAAACTTACTTAAATGCCTACTCCTCATTTCTGTTTTGCGACGTTGGAGGGTCAACTGGTGTGGTCGTTCGGGGTTCCGGACGATCACTCTATATGTGGGCAGGACCCTCCTCTGTGTCACGTGTTCATTTCGGGGGCGGATTGGCCCACCGCGCCCTAGTCGCTCGTCGACTACGTGTGGTCGAGTTGCTTGCCCCAGGTTGGCCAAGGGTAGCGTAGCAATCTCCTGCAGGTTGCAAGTTGCAAGGAAGGCCCTTGTACTCGACCCTGGCATCCGGGGCAGCGGCACGGTGGTTGGTCACCTAGGGCATCCATTTTTGCTATGCCTCGCTCTACGCCGAGGCCGACGATGATCTCCATAATGGTCTTTCGGGACGGGTGGAACAACGGATGCAAGTTGGTGGCCACCCCGCCTCCTAGGGCCCGATAAACTTCCCAAAACACGTTCAGATCTACATTAATTATAGACAACCGTTCGCGCGGGTTTTCGCACGTACCGAGATCCTCGAAAAATTTTCGTAGCGATGGTTCTATAATTACACCTTCTTATAAGATCACGTTGAATGAAAATGTGAAGTTCAACTGAATAGAACTACTTATCCTAGATGGTTTATATTTTGTCCTAATTCGAGAATGGCGGATATACATGTATCCCGGTCCTTCTTCCTCTTGTAGGGGTAATGGTTTCGGTATCAATATCCAAAACGCCAGAGATGTGATTGCTGGTATGGTCAGCATTATCAGTAACGCTATTTTTATACCTACAACAAATAACAGTGAGTATGATACGACCCCAATTACTCCGGCTCTTTCTGAATCGGAGCTCCATGCCGATAGAACACACTGCATATTTATTTATGTGACTACTATGAATATTGACATTTAACAGTCTCATATTTAGAGAAACAACGGATACTTTAAGCTTAAAACAAATATGCATATACATATCTATAAAACTTATCCTTCACAAACTGCATTGACAAAAAACTAAGGAGTCAAAGGTATGGTACATATGGCATTATGAGCCATAATAGCGAAAATGCCATCTAAGGCAATACTAGTACTATCAGCAAATTCATTACTGGCCATGGAAAACTGCCTGGCTGCTGGGTTCTTTACCTCATTAGAAATTCTGTAATATGTGTTGACATATGAAGCTCCTCCTTTCGCTAATTTTTCCAAGCCCGTTCCCTTGGCAGTGGTTTCGCTAGATAGGCACGAAAACAGAGATCTTGCCTCCTTCAGCAAAAATTTTGATGCAATACTGTTATTATGCAAACTTGAACTGTCTGAATAGGTTACCTAATTCATCACTTCAAATTCGGGTTCTTCCTGCTGAACGTTTCCGTTGTTTGTGACACCAAGATTTTGCATGTGAATTCCGTCAGGAGCGTCTCCACTCTGACACATACGCAGACACACAGTGTCAAGAACCATCTAGAAAAAATCAAATTAGATAAAATAATTGTTTAGAATCATAGAAGTTACCTCATAAAGGGACATTACTGGGTTGTTTATGCATATTTACACCCGAAGGTCTAACGCACGTCCAGGGTAGCCCACCCGGAAAAATCTATCAGATGATTCCTGAACTGTCCCCCAGAGACCAACACCTATGAAAGGCACAGGTTTTTGGACCTGGCTGGGCTGGCCCCTGGGTACTCGTGTTAACAGGGTTCCCCTAGCAACGTTGGACGAGTCACCGATTCGCATCATACACTTTCGTGAGAATGCTACCACTTGTGGGTTAATATATACTTGTTACCTTTTACCACAAAAGCGTGGAATCAGCAACAGAGGCATATATTTTTGCCGGAACCGGAAAGTGGTCTCCTCGTCCCGTAGTTTCTTGTATTAAAAGGGCTTACTGTGTAAGTTCCTCTTCCCAGACAAGGTGCGGGTTCGGGGTCTCCCCCTACTAGCTAGCTTTCGGAACACCCCAGTCATCCGTTGCCTAGAAATCTGGGATAGGGTAGACATTAGGGGTCCTTCGCCCATGCCAACTAGTGAGACAATGGGTATTACTTGGGTTGTACCTTTAACTCCCCGGCCGTGCCCGGGTCCTCGTTTGAACCGGACGAGTTGCGGTTCGAAGTAAAGCACGCCCACCGTTGGCACTGCCGAAGCTGGGCTCATCGGACTTTCGACCAGAAACCTGGAATCGTCCCGACGAGCTCCCCGCTTTTCCGCGGAAGACGTACAGTACCGCTACCATCTTTCTGAAAAGAGGCTCAGGAACTTTGCCCAGAGTTCTGGGATCGTTCAAGAGTTCCTCCCTCCTCCCCCTATCGTGAGATGGTAGACACGATAGTTCGGTGGAGTTAACAAAATTGCACCAGCGAACCGCGCGATCGAAAATGTGGGTAGGGACAGTGGTAATCTCATTAATCCCTTCATGCGCGTCACTAGATGACGAAGCATTTGGCTATTAAAAAATCTGGCGTTTGGTGATTTATACTACATCAAAGGCGGCGCGAGTGGGCCTTGTGTAATAAAGCGCCGCCCTTAAGCACACAAAGGTAGATGGCGTCGCATAGAAGATCGTTCCTGGCGCACCAGTCCACCCTGGCTCTCAGGATGAGAGTGAGAATGCGGAGGGGGCGGTTGGGGTACTGATGTATCAGTGCCGTACGGATGTAAGTGTCGTCATAATGGCGCACTTTATCAGTTGCGGCCATCTGGAGCCTTCCCATTGGACCGCCACATCCGACATAGTAATCTCGGAATTGGACACTATCACCATACTCATTTTGTATGGTTTTAACTTGTCTGAGGGACATATTCCCTTATATGTCAGTTGTGTTCTTTTCGCGCCTGGCATATCTTCTATGACGTGTCGATCGTTTTCGAGTACTTTCATTACACTATAAGGACCCTTATAACGCCTTATAAAGTCTGGCTGCCGAAGCCGACCCTCTGCGTCGCGAAAGTGAAAACGAGGCTCAACGATCGCCACCAAACCACGAGAGCGCGAGAAATCCGCGACCTTACGAACAATGTTGTTATGTCTTCGAATGCGCTCGAAGTGCGTCACAGAGCCCTTTTGCAAGACGTGCGAAACACTCTCGGTCCTCGCGCACCCATGACGGCACATTCTATGTTTAGGCGTATTGTGAACCCCACCCGCGAACGGGAGTAAGTTGCCGCGCGGCAACACCGGACTAATATAATTATACTCACAGCAGTCGCTTGTTGATGTTTCATTTTTTCAGGCAACGAATTAGCATCATGTTTCTGTCTTTTGGGTTCAGGATACTCATCGTCTATGGTCAGATCTATGATTGTCTGATTCAAATACCGGTTTTTGGCTCTCGTTCATCGACCATGGTGTAAACAGGATCTGATGGAAATACCCTGAATTATTAAAATATTTGAAATTTAAAACATTAATTTTTTTTACTATCATTACATAATTCCACAGAGTAACTTCATTACATCACTTATGATGGAATGAAGACCTTTACTGCCTTCTTGAAGTCATAATTCAAAACAAAGAAGAATGGTGTAATGTCTGTCCAGTCCAAAATGTGGGAGGGTTGTGAATCCAAGATCAACAGAGAGTCATAGTTGCTCCCGCGCTTGATTGAATTTCTCCACTTTGACATTCAAAGCACGCAAAAATCACATTGCCTCTGCATCACGTTAGGACCAGGCGCTGTTCTAGAGATAAGTAACTTCTCCTAGACCGTAACAAAACGAGATTAGTATAACTCCAAATATTAATACCCCAACACTTTTGCTGAATCCGACAACAGAATATCCGACTGTTTCACGAGTAGAGCCGGAAGAATGTCGGCTAATAAAATTGTTCCAGTTGATATGTAAGCGCAATTTCTTATAGTGCTCAGAGCTGTGCGGTACTCGAGTACAAGTACTCTTCAGCTCCTCGCTCTTCCTTGTATTCCTTCCTACAGCACTAAAGCTAGCGTAGATGTTCGGTATGGAATAGTAAATTGCTTGTGTTGTGAAAATTATCACATATCACATCACATATATGTATTCTAAACTGAGATTCTACTGATATTGGAGCAACAGGAAGCTTAATAAGTTCAAATGTGCCCTGATTAATGAACTATTCAAATAGGTAAATGAGACTAATGGTATCATGTATTTCATTAGACCAGGAATAAGATAAAAATTTCCTTCTCAAAGAAATCTCCTCGTTTCCGAGTTTAACTTGATCGTCCGGTTGTCCAGCTCCTTCGATGGATTCTTGTGGGGGTAATGGTTTCGGTAACAATAACCAAAACGCTAGGGATGCGATGGCTGGTATGGTCAGCATTATCACTAATGTTGTTTTCATACCTACAGCAATTAATAGCGAGTATGATACGGCCCCGATTACTCCGGCTATATCTGAACCGGAGCTCCATGCCGATAGAACACTTTTCTCATAATTAGCCCTGTACTGGAGATAAGTAACTTCTAAAGCGTAACAAAACGAGATAAGTATAATTCCAAATATTGATACACCAATACTTTTGCTGAATCCGACGAGAAAATATCCGACTGTGGTCACACCAACCCAAATCGCTACTCTTATGTTCACTACGAAGGGTAAGAAGGGAAGTACCAGTTTCACGAGTAGAGCCGGAAGACTGTCAGCCAACAAAATTGTTTGTTGATATGTAACCGCAATTTCTTATAGTGCTTACCATCAGAGCCATTACTTATTCCAATTATGTCTGAAGCAGCTGTCAACATCACTACATATCCGTAGTTATTGCAGAATCCCAGAAAGTGTTGCCAATTAGGTAATCCAAAACACGTGACCAAATATGGCCGCCTGTAGACACGCAAAAGTTTTTTACTGCTTATAGCCAATACACGTTTTAAATTTTAATTTCATTTTTTCTCGGTACGAATACATGTTACTTTGTCTCTATTTAAATTCCTCTCTCAAAGGATGCCACCGGCAATAAACTATACATTCGTATCAAGGGAAAACGTTGATTGATTGATAAAATAATTTTGTGAGTAACCGAACTCGTCTTTTGTGAGTCATTACATCACTCTCTTACTTAAGAATCGAAATTATCTTTCAATAAGATTATTTCGGTCACTTAATTATTTTAATAAAAATGTATATTTTACCTTAACTCCCATAGATTAAATATCCCCTTATTGATTATTATATTGAACAAAACTGATTATTATACCCTAACTTTAACTAACATAATTACTACAAAACTTACTTAAATGCCTACTCCTCATTTCTGTTTGGCGACGTTGGAGGGTCAACTGGTGTGGTCATTCGGGGTTCCGGACGACCACCTTATATGTAGGCAGGACCCTCTGTGTCACGTGTTCATTTCGGGGGAGGATTGGTCCACCGCGCCCCGGTCGCTCGTCGACTACGTGTGGTCCTCCTGGTAGGCCTCGAGTTGCTTGCCTGTTGGCTAGTACTCCTTGGGGTTGTAGGTAGTAGGGGTTTAAGGTTGGCCCAGGGTAGCAAGCTTCTGCAGGTTGCACGGGAGGCCATTGTTCTCGACCCTGACATGCAAGGCAGCGGCACGGTGGTTGATCACTTAGAACGTCCATTTTTGCTATGCCTTGCTCTACGCCGAGGCCAACGATGATCTCCATAATGGTCCTTTGGAGCGGATGGAACAACGGGTGCACCCCGCCTCCTAGTGCCCGATAAACTCCCCAACACACGTTCAGGGCTACATAAATTATAGGCAACCGTTCACGCGGGCTTTCACACGAACCGAGATCCTCGAAAAATTTTCGTAGCGATGGTTCCATAATTACACGTTCTTATAAGATCACGTTGAATGAAATTGTGAAGTTCAACTGAATAGAACTACTTATCCTAGAGGGTTTATATCTTGTCTCAATTCGAGAATGGATCCTAAAGGCAGATCTACATGTATCCCGGTCTTTCTTCCTCTCGCAACTTTTGCTAACCTCCAGGGTTTCCTATCAGTTTTTAGTTCTGAACCCGACTTCATTAATTCCTGCAATGCTGAATATTTCCATTATTCGTGTCACCAAGATTTTGCATGTGAATTCCGTCAGGAGCGTCTCCACTCTGACACATGCATAAATACACAGTGTCAAGAACCATCTAGAAAAAATGAAATTAGATAAAATAATTGTTTAGAATCATAGAAATTACCTCATAAAGGGACAGTGAAAACACGTTAATTGGAGCAGTTACCTTAACTACTATCGATTAAATATCCCCTTATTGATTATATTGAACAAAACTGATGATTATACCCTAATTTTAACTAACATAATTACTACAAAACTTACTTAAAAGCCTACTCCTCATTTCGGGGGCGGATTGGCCCACCGCGCCCTGGTCGCTCGTCGACTACGTGTGGTCCTGGTAGGCCTCGAGTTGCTTGCCGCAGGTTGACCAAGGGTAGCAGCAACCTCCTGCAGGTTGCAAGTTGCAAGGAAGGCCCTTGTACTCGACCCTTGCATCCGGGACAGCGGCAGGGTGGTTGGTCCGTTAAGGGCATCCGAGGCCGACAATGATCTCCATAATGGTCCTTCGGAGCGGGTGGAACAACGGGTGCAGGTTGGTGGCCACTCCGCCACCTAGTGTCCGATAAGCTCCCCAACGCGCGTTCAGGGCGACATTAATTATCGCCAACAGTTCACGCGGGTTTTCGCACGAACCGAGATCCGCGAAAAATTTTCGTAGCGATGGCTCCATAATTGCACGCTCTTATAAGATCACGTTGAATGAAAATTTGAAGTTCAACTGAATAGAACTACTCATCCTAGATGGTTTATATCTTGTCCTAATTCGAGAATAGCGAATCCACATGTATCCCGGACTTTCTCCTTCTTGTAGGGGTAATGGTTTCGGTATCAATATACAAAACGCCAGAGATGTGACTGCTGATATGTTCATTATCAGTAACGCTGTTTTCATACCTACAGCAATTAACAGCGAGTGTGATACGGCCCTAATTACTCCGGCTTCATCTGAACCGGAGCTCCATGCCGATAGAACACAGAGCTGCATATGTATTTGTGTGGCTACTATGAATATTGACATTTAACAGTCTCATATTTATAGAAATAACGGATACTTTAAGCTTAAAACAAATATACATATACATATCTATAAAACTTCTTCTTCACACACTCCATTGACAAAAAACCAAGGAGTCAAAGGCATTACATATGGCATTATGAGCCATAATAGCGAAAATGCCAGTACTATCAGCAAATTCATTACTGGCCATGGAAAACTGCCTGGCTGCTGGGTTCTTTACCTCATTAGAAATTCTGTAATATGTGTTGACATATGATGCTCCTCCTTTCGCTAATTTTTCCATGCCCGTTCCCTTGGCAATGGTTTCGCTAGATAGGCACACAAACAGAGATCTTGCCTCCATTAGCAAAAATTTTGACTCAATACTGTGAATGTGCAAACTTGAACTGTCTGAATACGTTACCTAATTCATCACTTCAAATTCAGGTTCTTCTTGTTGCATATTTCTGTTGTTAGTGACACCAAAATTCGCATGTGAATTCCGTCAGGAGCCTCTCCACTTTGACACATACACAGATACACAGTGTCAAGAACCATCTAGAAAAAATCAAATTAGATAAAATAATTGTTTAGAATCATAGAAGTTACCTCATGAAGGGACAGTGGTAATCTCGTTAATCCATTCATGCGCGTCACTAGATGACGAAGCATTTGGCTATTAAAAAATCTGGCGTCTGGTGATTAATACTACATCAAAGGCGGCGCAAGTGAGCCTTGTGTAATAAAGCGCCGCCCTTAGGCACACGAAGAATAAAGTGTTTTTGGCTGTAAGCTGAAAGGTGGATGGCGTCGCATAGAAGATCGTTCCTGGCGCACCAGTCCACCCTGGCTCTCAGGATGAGAGTGAGAATGCGGAGGGGGCGGTTGGGGTACTGATGTATCAGTGCCGTACGGATGTAAGTGTCGTCATAATGGCGCACTTTATCAGTTGCGGCCATCTAGAGCCTTCCCATTGGACCGCCACATCCGACATAATAATCTCGGAATTGGACACTATCACCATATTCATTTTGTATGGTTTTAACTTGTCTGAGGGACATATTCCCTTATATGTCTCCACCAAACCACGATAGCGCGAGAAATCCGCGACCTTACGAACAATGTTGTTATGTCTTCGAATGCGCTCGAAGTGCGGGGACACTTTTGCAAGACGTGCGAAACACTTTCGGTCCTCGCGCACCCATGACGGCACATTCTATGTTCAAGCGCATTGTGCACCCCACCCACGACCGGAAGCAAGTTGCCGCGTGGCAACATCGCACTAATATAACTATACTCACACTCAAAGCAGCGGTTTGTGGATATTTCATTTTCTCAAGCAACGAATTAGCATCAACTTTCAGTCTTTTGGGTTGGGGATACTCATCGTCTATGGTCAGATCTATTATTGCCTGATTCAAATACTGACTTGGCTCTCCTTTATCGGCCATGATGTACACGGGATCTGATGGGAATGCCCTAGAATATTAAAATTTTTGAAAATAAAAACATTCATTTTTTTTCTACTATCATTACATAATTTGTCGATTCCGACGTAGTTTTTGATCACGGAAAAACTTCATTTTATCACTTATAATGGAATGGAGACCTTTACCGCCATCTTGAAGTCATAGTTCAAAGCAAAGAAGAATGGCACAAGTGTATGTCTGGCCTGTCTAAAAATGTGGGAGGGTTGTGAATCCAAGAGGAGCCCCTCGGAAGTTATCCAACAGAGAGTCATAGTTACTCCTGCGCTTGATTTAATTTCTCCACTTTGACATTCAAAGCACGCAGAAATCACATTGCGTCAGCATCACGTTAGGACCAGGCGCTGTTCTAGAGATAAGTAACTTCTCCTATAGCGTAACAAAACGAGATAAGTATAACTCCAAATATTGATACACCAATACTTTTGCTGAATTCGACGACAAGATATCTGACTGTGGTCACACCAACGCAAATCGCTACTCGTGTTTTCACTACGAAGGGTAGTACCAGTTTAGTTTCATGAGTAGAGCTGAAAGAATGTCAGTGTGATAACCGAGCTTGTGTAAATTAAAGCGAGATTCTACTAAAGCGTTTCATTATTAATATTACAGGATTAAATATAGAGTTAAGCAATTAACAAGAGTTGAGACTATGACCTTTATGGAGGTCGCGGACGGACGCGCAGGAGGAATCAGTTCACGGTCTCATGGGTAGCAGAAGACTGCCGGAGTTAGTAGAGAGTTTTCGTTGTCTTTTAAAAACGATTCCGATAGCCGCTATTTGACAAATTTGACATTTGAGCTATCATTTATCGTTATCGTTACCGATAAGTGCCGGGAGTTTACGGACGGAAGACAAAACCATAGCGAAAACGGAAAGCATGCGTATTTCCTATGTTTTTGTTGTGGTTTGTTTTTGTTTTTAAATGTTTTGGGTTTTCGAAATAGATTCAATACTAAATTCCCTCAAAAGATCGAGAAATCGTTTCACGGATGAGGACAATATTATTTATTATTTCATGTGCAATCGAGTGATCCATCCCGAAAATCTCGCACTATTTTTTATAATTCTGTCCACATAATTTTTTAAGTACAAGCCCTGATGAAGCCCTAAACTTTTGGGCGTAACGTTGGCAAATACTTAACAGGCCTTTTATTTTTTGTCCTAACCGACGAATCACCCCCCTTCATTGGATACCGATAGGACACAAACTTCTCTTTATCATTTATTATTTTAATAGAAGAAGTATGGGCCAACAACCCATATAACGATACATCTATAATTATGCTTTTGTAGTAGCCAATTTTGTAAAGCACACAGGGAAAATTAATGAATTTTGGGTACTAGGAAATTAAAACAATGTACAAAACGTATATAAATAGAAACAATTAAAGAAAGGTTATGTTTGTCGAATTCGACTTAACGTTAACGTTAAGCGGATTGAACGAAAACTATTTTGACGATCTGTCAAATAGCGACTTTGTCTTCGTATTCGTTATGGTTAACCGTTCGAATTTGGCAATACAACGAAAACTGTCTAGTGTCTTCGTGGTGGTTCGGTATGATGACGGTTGTGACGTCATGGGTTCCCTTTAGCGACGATAGATAAAATCTAAAAGTAGAACAATTTAATTTAAATATAAATATAAATCTTAAAAGGAGTGTGAAGTTTAACCATTATTAATTGAAACTTCATAAAAAAGGCGGCTCAGTTGATCTCTTTGAAGTCACGTGGGAATCCATAGGCGTCTAAATATTATTATCATGACAAATGTAAACAAATTGGTTAATAAAGAATAAACATACTCCAGAGATTTCTATAAAAACTGAAATGACGAACGCCATTGCCCCGAAATTCTAGCTGATTTACTTCTAGAATACAGTGGAGTTAATACATTAAATAAATGGGCAAAATTCATATAGTAGGTAATCCTTAAAATTCCGTTTTAAACTATTGAAATAAATCAAATATAAATATTTGAATGGGAATATTATTCCTTTATTAAAAATTCAAATTTGAAATTGATTTTTATTCAATTATCTGTGTAATTTTATACTTTTGTCCACTTCTAAAGAGAATATCTCACACTTTCAACAAGAGCGGCTCAGCTTTGACGGCATGCGATAAAGCCCAGCGGCATCGCCGACAATTTTCAAGTTTTTTTGCCGGCGTGCGGTGTCTTTGTTATAGTGTACCAGGACTAGGCATAAAAATATAAAAATTATTTTATATTATTATAAGGGGTATTTTTCTAATTTTGAGTAGTCAGCATAGAGATGCGATTTTCAATTGATAATGGTAATACTTTACCATGGTTCGTTTGGGTCATCGGAGTTAACCACTTGGCAACCTGGCTGTAGGCTGCCTCATCACAGTCAGCCAATAAAATTGTTGCAGTTGATATGTAAGCGCAATTTCTTAGAGTGAGAACAAGTTTTCTCCACTTGCACTCTAAGTATAATTTGATTTACTCAGTACTCAGGCCAAGATACTTTTTGGATCATGTATTTGAACTGTCTAAAAATATAAAAAATATTCGGTACTTCTTATTGTACTACGAAACTTTCGAAATATCCGCGTACATGATTTTATACTCGAATACATTTGTTATACTGGGGTTTTTTTCATTGTGTTCGGATACATTACACATTTGCTGTTACTGAGTAAAATTATTAGACTCGTATGTATTTATTTGCCACAAGTACATTTCCAGACATTTCTTGTTTAGTGTGCAGATGCGTAGCTTCGTTGTGTTGCAAACGATATTTTGAACTTTTCTGTGCACTGTGACACTGGCTCATATGAATAAAACAGAAACAAATACTTTTGTGTGTAAGTGAGATAAACATATTCAGCTTAAATGCAGCAAAAACAGACGTAGGTAGAGTAGAAGCATTTGCTATACTTTATTCAGACGACTGAATGTGTCTGGGACCCTAAATTTGAACATTCTGAGTCCTTATAAGCCCAATAATATAGAAAGTAAATTGCTTGAAAAGCATGTATGTACAAGTGCGAAGCTAAAGTTCGACAAATACCATTTTAGGCCCAGTTGTACAAACCAGGTTCAAACAGAGGCTCAGTTGAACTCTACTGGTACTTGAACCTTCCCATTTGAAATGCATTGCTGTCAGAAATATGCCAAAATATATATTTCTTGACAGCAATGCAATTCAAATGGTAAAGTTCAAATACCAGTAGAGTTCAACTAAACCTCTGTTTGAACCTGGACTGTATAACTGGACCTTAAAGTCACGTGATATTGGTGGCAAAAAACGTATGTCGTTGATATCCCCTACAAAAAGCTACTTGTGGTTAATTACTATTGAATTTTAAGATATGTTCCCACTAGCATTTTACAAACGGGTTTCTGAAGTAGTATTGACCAATCAGATGAGAATTTTAATACTTGCAATTGTTGCGAGACTCACTTTTGTCGCTTCTGCTGCCCCCTTGTAATACATTCTGAACTTGAATTGGGTACCCGTTTTCTATTTGCATCTTTTTGAGTTGGAAAAAGGTTAATATAGTCAAAATTATTAGCTGTGTTTGTTCGTTGTATCATTTTCTAAAATAACTTTGACAAACTAATTGATGACAGAGACGGATTCTATTTCAGGTAAGAATTTAAAGGCCGTTTTACAGCTTGCAATTCTATCTGCAATATGCAAGGAACTTGAACGAGGGCATGCGCAGAAGTGAGTCAGCTGATTGGTTTCTGCAAGATTCTTGAAACTTGAATGGCATTGCATGCAATCGGTTTGGTGCCATTTTTCTTGAAGGTTTTCGTGCAAGCTGGGGAATTTTCAGCAATTATGATGCTTAAAGCTGCTGCTATTTCGTTCTTCTTCTTATATCGACTTATAATCACTTTTTTTTATTTTTAGAAAATGCAAAAATCAATAACACAACATTAAAAACAAAAAAGTATGGTTAAGGTTAGAGAAGGAAACAAGTTAAATTGCAAGGTGTAAAACGACGTGCAAGAAATCTTGAATTCAATTTTTTTGCACGCAAAAAATTGCATTCAAGTTTTCTTGCAAGCTGTAAAACGGCCTTTATGAACAATAATTAGACAGCAATTTTTTTGTCAATTTTACTATCACCACTGTTTGAGATGTATTCAACAAGGATAGAGAAAAATCACGTGACTTTAAAATGGTATGTGTTGGACTATACTTCAACGCTTGCGGCCTAAGTTGCCATTAGATTTTCATGTCAATGATCAAAACTGTTTTATGACGTCATTGGTATGCAAGGTATACAAAATGTATTCATGAATGTACTCGGTTCGGTACTTTGAGTACTTGGGTATTGAATACTTGTAATGGGGATGTTTCCTTTATTCTTAAAACACGTTTTAATACATATATGCATATCGATAGATTGCAATATGTATTTAATAGAAATAATATTTTGCGTTCTTTACCTTTTCATTGCTATATACCCACCTTTTTTAGGATGTTGAAAAGAGCATTATTTTTAAATGCCTACACTTTTACCGCCATCTCAAATTATCCAATCAGCAACATCCAAATGTTGTTACATGTGGTGTTGCCAGTGTCACCTTTTTCAACCTATCATCCAAATGTCACATGTTGTATTGATGGAATTTATCCATTTTTTTTACTTTGGTTTGTTAATTGTTATTGATAAATAGAAATAAATATAAAAGCACTTTCTTAAGTGAAACGCTGAATGTTTAAAACAGCGCATGCGTTCAAGTAGCGCAAAAGTATATCCAATCCAATAACTCTCTAGTAATATCAGGTTTTGAAATATGTGAAGTAAAATACTCAGACTCAAGCAACCTGAAAACTTCTAGATTCTATTAGATTTGTTTATCTATATTTGACAATAATAGAACTTATTATTATTATTATTATATTTTTGGCTTTAAGTCATGTTAGATAACACAATTACATAGGTAGTTTTAATTCAAATAGGAAAAAGTTTTAGTAA